TGAAATTTTCGCATAACTCACCAACAAACATCGCTAAAATAGTATTCCAAATAGTAGGTCAAAATATTGTTTTCTTCGCGAGGTTTTTGAATTTACAGTTTGGTCCTCACCGAGTTTTGCAAACTGAAATTCTCTGCAGGCAACAGCGAAAACGTGACGTCAGTGGAAGGCGGAGTCCACTCCTTGGACTGTAGAATTTGTTCCCAACTCATTCGAAGCCGTTTCATGGTGTCAAAATGAATTCTCTAGAAGCTTGCTCCAGTATCAGCGCTCCAGCACAGAACAAGTAATTGGCATATTCTATTTTTAGACTGGTTGCTCGACTGGCAAGCCTGCCTGACATTGGCGTCACGGCACTGAAAAGTGCGGGTATATTTGGATTCTGCTTTTTGCATCATTTTCATTTGCCGATTTCACAATACCTATTATGAATTTCGCGATAATAAATAACATACCGGAAAGGGTAAAGGCCGGTAAGTCAGAAAATATAGGTAGTTGAGGTAGCTCAAAAAACCTGTTAACTTTGTTACTTTGTCAACTTTGTTAACTTTAGGTAAGACATTATTCAGTGTTTTAAATTATCGTGAACTCCGGCTGCTCTTTACTTTACAAGTAATGCGTCATAGTGCACAGCATCAAAGGCCTTTGAAAAATCGTTGAAGATCGAATCGGCCTGTTTTTTACCATTAATAACGCTGGCGAAATCATGCACAGACGAAACAAGCTTGGTAATTGTAGAGTGACCGCGTCGAAAACCATGCTGGGAGTAGCTGAAAAATTAATCGCTTTAGAGGTAATCGGTAATTTGCTTGTTCCCTGTGTGCTCGAGGAGCTTGGAAGATATGCATGTTAAGAATATTCGTCGGTAGTTTAAATGCAGAGTTTATCACCGGTCTTATCAACTGGTGCCATGTGCGCATGAAGCCAGTCACTCGGAACAATCTTATCCCGCAAGGAGGACTTAAATATGACACATAAGAACGCCTAAATCTATTCGGCATACATCTTCATAAGTGCGATATAAACATATATCAACACAATATAAACACTTTAGTAGGGTGGCCTAACCAATTAGCTTCGGACAGTGGAAGTCGTCGCAGCCAGCTCGGGCCACTCTTGAAGTCCAAATCATGCGGCCAATCTGTCGAAAGCGAGACGTGAATCGTCTAAACGAATATCGAGCGTTAGTTCACATTCTTTTCGACACACTGCTTTTTGTGTCCTGTGTTACACAGTTTTAGGAAGCAGGTGTTCAGTTTTAATACACAATAGAGCCGTTGCCCGGCACGTTTGTCAAATAGTTGGCGTGCAATTTTGTTTTGGTTTGAAAATGTTAAAATATTTGTGAAGCTACGAAATACATTATCCTGTTTAGGGGAGGCGTGCAAATCTGCCGCTGATGGAATCTATACAAAACTAAAAATCAATTTTAAAAAATAATAAATAGAATTATCCCCCTCCCTATCTGCACTAGTGGATGAGTGGTTGAATCTTACTGCAACAGTCAATAAAAAAATGTGCGTACGATTTTGTCTTTGGGCAACTTTTTGTTCACTTATTTTGAATTTTCAGTTTTATGACGCAAACCTGTACTTTACGCATGATTTCATTCTTAAAGAACTATCTCTTGTTTGAGGATGGATAGCGTGTTTGTATATTGCATACGACTGCCATTGCACCTTGATAAAGTTCGGCTGGGTGTTTGCGGACTCCATTTTATTTTCATTTCGGAACATGACGAGAACATGACGAGAATCAGAGTCCAATGTGTCAGGTCATAGCCCAGCACGTGCATGTTAGTTGGTTCGGAAGGCGAGCACAGCACGCGAAACACGCACGAACGCTGAAAATAGAACAGACTAGAAGCATTTTTTCGTATAGTTTATAGGCGTTTTACTAAATTACTTAAGCACGAAGAACCATATGCACGTTGCAAATTTCGTTACAGTGTTACACGTGATGGCATCGGCAACAGACACTTTCGTATAGAAAATCTAAAACAAATAACACGTGCATTCAGACAAGACGAACCTGTACAGCACATATTTCCGCATTCTAAGCATTCTCTGTGGTGCTTGGGTAATTTGTAATAAAATGTATCGCAAGATTCTTGGACATTTCTTTGCCAGCATAATTCCTTCCTTGTGATAAAAGAAGAACGTATTTATGCCAGCGATTTCAGGAAACTTGTGAACCGCGGCTTGAGCGAACTGAGCTGCAAAAACGATTTTCTCACAATCACAGTTGCCTTCTTTTTTTTTTTTTTTAGTGCAACACAAAGGTTGCATGTTGCGCAAATAAAAATTATTAAGGGGTATTTGCATGCATGCGATGCCTTTCCGGGAGTGATATGCGAGACGTCAGTGATCAGCGGAGCAAGTGGAACTCCCTCTGCGGCTCTAGCATTCACACGAACGGCGGGGAGCGAAAAGAGATGCCAGTGTTATTGCACGCATTTAGCGGTCACATTCTAGAAAACGGCGCGTTGCGAGCGCTGACGAAACTAGGAAAATTGAAGCGTGCATGAAACGGCGATACACGATTCTTGCAGCAGCGTTGTTGATGCAAAAGTTACTTATCTTGATAAGAGGAAACAACTTGTTGTCGTGAATTGAATTCATTCATCGCATGTAGATGTCACTTCAGAACTAACCCAAGGCTCCGTCTCCTTTTTTTTTGAGTATACATAAATGATATTGCCAATGAAATTTCTTCGAGCATAAAGCTGTAGGCGGATGACTGTGCGTTGTTTGGAGATGTATAGTAAAATTTTTCAAAGTGATCTAAATCAAATTTTAAAATGATGTCACAAATGGAAGATGGCATTGCATATATCTAGATGCATTCATATCAGATATTCCAGAAAACACAAAATAGTGCCGTCGGTATTTTTTTTTTTTTTTGCTAATCATCCCGTACCTTGTAGCGTTTCTAGTTTTTGGTAAATTCTGACCATCAACCGTTTATTTGCTTAATTGTTGTCTTCAAAATTACATTGATTGCCCTCAAAATAAAATATCTAATCACACACAAGGAAATAGAAAAATTAAAAAAAAAATCAGTGCTGTTATTTGTTGTTACAGCCGCAAACGAAACTATTGGCGAGCCTGATTCGTCCAAAATGCTTGAGTGCTTGAGCCGGGGAAAGCAGACAAGCTGCACTCATCGTGAACGGTTTGGGGACGGCTCATCCTTGACGAGCTTGGGGTGGAGGAGTTAAAACTTTGCACATAGGCATGACATCTAGGAGTGCGCGTAAGTGCTGATTTAGCATGGAACAGTCATGTTTCACTTCTTTGTTCCAAGGCTAGCAATATGTTGCACTTTTTGTGCCGGAAGTTTAGGCAAATTTCTCGCGGCTTGAAGGAAACTTTTTTATTTTTCTTGTATACGACCACATTTTAGATTATGCTGACATCGTTTGGGATCCGCATACTCAAATATATATATATGTATAAATCAAATAGAGCAAGTTCAGAATCAAGCACTATGGTACGTATCGGACGCCTACAATTTCCGCAAAAGCACTTCAGTAATGAAAAAGTTACTGAATGAAAAACCCCACAACATACGTGAAAATGCCTGCGTCTGAAGATTTCCACGAAACGTTTACTACGGTAACACTGGTCTTTAAAAATCAAAATACATCCTAGCACCCTATTACATTTCTCATAAAATGAATAATAGTCAAAAGATTTGTCAAGTTTCTGCGAGAACTTATCTGCTGAAGTACTCATTTTTTCTCAAACTGACCATGACTGGAATGTGCTGCGCTTTTTATTGGTGCAGCTACCCTATGATTACTATTTTTTTAAATTTAATAATTCTGTTGCGAAGTTGTCACAATCGTTTGTTTAAATCTGTATTTTTGGTTTTTGTATGCTTTTATGCGGTCCTTGGTGTATGCCCCCATTTGTGATGCCCTTTGAACGATGCAGTTATGAAATAAATAAACGAAGAGGACGGACTGCTTTGTACTAAACGAAATGTGGTTTTTGAAGCCGAGGACACAAAAATAGAACGTGGAATTGATGAATATCAGACTCCTTCCAGTTCCTCGGACAACATGTGCAACAGCGCAAGCCATGGGAGCCACGATAAGTAAGGCAATTCCGATGCCACAGCCGGTATACCGCTGATAAAAATCTGTAAATTTCCCAGAAACGCGGACCAAATACCGCTATTTGCGAAGAAATTCCCACGGCAAGGCCGGAACAGTTTGTACCACCCGAACAAAATGTTCCCATACCCCCTGGGATGTCCACGCCAGCGAAGCTCCGCACAACACCTGCCGTTGTTATCACGTGATCCGCATCCCAGGATGCAAAGGGAGGGATTTCACGCCGGGTGAATGCACCTTTATAAACTTGAGATAACCCGAACGCCCCTCTTTGCTCGCTACTAAAGACAGGGACAGGTTAAGAGTTAAGGGGAGACTCCTCCCACACCTTTCCACTTTAGCAGAGCAAACGCTGGAAAGGAAGTCGTCTGCTCTCCAGCGCTCGCTCTTCTAAATTGGAAAGAGGTGGGAGGAGCTTCCTAGAATTCTTAACTTGTCACCGACTATAGACGCGAGCAAAATGACGGCGAATGCACCTGCAGCACGCAATTATTCCCGCAACTGACGTCGCTTTTTTTTTTTTAAGGGGGGAGAATTTGGAGTTATACTAGGGAGAACTATGTTTAGATTTTTATAGCAATCAAAATATCACTTTTTAATTTACTAGAGTCAATCTGGGAGGACAAGATAACATTTGGGAATCAGGTTAAGCTACTAGCGTTCAGATGATGCCTTTGGAATCTCCCCTTTAACATTGTTAGTACTAACAAGATGCTACATAACGGTGTCTTTTTATGACACAAGCGGCGTTGAAAAATACCTACGCAGCAACGACAGGAGCAGATGACAACGTCGGAGCTGCCGAGGCGTTCTGCGTTTGGCTCTTTCTGCAAGCTCTTGAGTATTCCTTCCCGTAGTGACAGGTCGGCTTGTTCTACAGGTGACCTCGCTTACTACGATGACAAGGGGCGAATCTACTTCGTGGAACGCGTGAAGGAGATGATCAAGTGCAAGGATAACCAAGTGGTTCCTGCGGAGCTGGAGGGGCTTCTCCTGGCTCGGCACGACGGCATCGCAGAGGCCTGCGTGGTCGGCCTGCCTCACGCCGAGTGGGGCCAGGTCCCCGCCGCCTTCGTCGTCCTCAAGGACAGCCACGCAGCTCCGGGGAAAGTCACGGAGCAGGACATCAAGGACATCATTGCAGGTCTGCTTTCTCACTTCCCTCGCGCGTTTAGCAAATAAGCCCAAAAGGCGTATTGAAATACGCCTTTTGACATATAGTTTCATCACAATTTGTTTCATCACAATTTGGCAGACGGCGAAGGCTATCTTGGTGAGTCAATATGCGCGTTGGAGAGAGGCATATGACAAGATTCTATCAGTGCTCGTCTGCACAGATTTGTCACACACCTTCACTACGTCTTTCTGATTGGCTCAAGGGGGTTGTGGCCGTTGCCCTTTTCCAAGTTACAGTGAAACGAAGTATAGGCAGCCCGCACTTTTGAAAGAAGTCTATTGAAGAGACTGAAAGGAATGGCAGTCAACATTTTTCAACAAGACTTTTCTTCGGGCAAGGCGCGAACACAAATATGAGTCATCTTGTCCAGGTAATTAGAAGAACTAAATAATTGAGCGACTAATACAATGCACTCTTGATGAAAAAAAAATATTGCTGCAATAAATCCTACGAAAGAGAAATATGTGCAGTTAATCTTTTATTTGCGAGTTGCATTACATTTAACGAATTGATGATATGTGGGGTCTTATTTCTGGACCTTTAAAAAGTGGGGCTGAATTTTTTTTTTAAATTATAGATTTTAGAATGATGGATTAGGCAACCATCTAAGAGAATGATAATTTCATTAAATGCAAAAGTGCAAGCGAACTGGACGAAAATGACGAAAATTATCCATGGAGAAGGGGAACAAGAGGGAAAAAGGGCAAGCACAAATCACCTAGCTCTGTTCGGAGATTTGTGTTTGTTCTTTGTCCCTCTGTTCCCCTTCTCCAGGGATTATTTTCGTCATCTAAGAGGAGTGTGATCATATGCATGGAGGTTACTGTGGACTATTTATACCGAACGTATTTTCCGGGCTATAGTCCGCGGACTATACATGTTTAAAAGTTGAAATTTCTGGCTGTGCGGACTATCTACGCGTGCGGACTATACAGGAATTATGTTTTTCAAGATCGTTTATTATGACAAGACGTGACGAATTTTGTGCACGAAAGTGTATGTTAATGATGATTTATGCACATTATAGGCTTTATTGTGAGCTAAAAAGCACACATTTGTAAACGTGTGCCGTCTATGAGAAGATTTTCGTGTCGACTAAGCACCCGGTGCGGACTATGCACCGGGTGCGGGCTATGCACCGGGTGCGGGCTACCTAAGCAAAATCTTTCATTTTTGACCCCAAATTTCCCCCTGCGGACTATACACCGGGTGCGGACTATAGTCCGGAAAATACGGTACTTCAGCTATTTAATAAGTTATATCATACCGTTATCAAGCATTTGGTGAAATTTGGGGCCGTCTGTTCGACTCTAGTGCGCTCTACGTCGAACTAAAGTTGTGGGGTGTATTATATGGAAGAAGTGATGCCCTTTTTTTTCAGCCCACACATTTAAGTATCATCCTAAGCGCCAATGGGGGACTGTGACATCAATTTCGTCGCGTGTGCTCGCGCACAGCGGCGGCTGTGCGCTCGTGGAAAGAGCGTGCACCGCTTATTATGGACACTAAATTGTTTGCTTCAGTATCACTTTAATGCGTTTTTAACGCTGTGTAGGCTCGTTTTAAGCAAGGAATATACCTTGCGCGAGTCATACATACTTGCTCCATAGATGCCCCGCTTAATTTCTCTTATTTGAACTCATGTACAAAAGCAAACAATTTTATCCGGTTGAGCTTTTATCCGGATTCACGAGTAAAAGCAGTGAACTTTTATGTACGTTTGTGAAAACTTCAGTGTCGTTTTGTCCAATGAGCTTTTGTCCGGAGAGCTTCTGTCCGAGATTCAGCTAAGGAATGACATCCATAGTAAACCCGAGACAGAGGAATGAAAAAAAAAACAGACAGACAGAACAACAGTCTTCAACGCAGCTTTGAAGTTTATTGAACAAAAAAGTCGGGGCTCCAATCCACGACGTGAAGGTGGTTGGCCAGCGAGGCTGTCATATCACCTGCAATGATTGCCCACTGCACTATACTTAATGAGTGACGAAAGAAAAGCAAATGCGCTGTACCAAAACTTTTGATTCACCTCACTCGGCGGGAGTTGGTATCACGAGGGTGCTACAGTATTTGGTGCCAAGGCAGACTTCCGGTAGTGAATTTATTTTCTCTTCAACAACGCACAGTGATCGGGTAAGAAGATTTTTTTTCGGAGAACTACCTGTCATACGTTTTTAGGAACCTGCGCGCACTGTAGAATATAGTGCAAATAACAAATGGATGTGAGGCGAAAAGAAAATAAGAAAAAAAAACGGAAACACGCAGGGGTCCTCGGATAGCCGGGCCCGGCTGCGAACTTATTTACAAACAACCATCGGTGATTATGCAGGATGCATCACGTAAGAGTGACAAAATTCTTAAGATTAGTGTATTCGAGGTGAGAGAATAATTTTCTGGGGACCGCATTTCTCGTAGTGGCGGACGCCAGATATTGCGTAATGCTTACTTAGTTAGTTGGATAAGTGATTAAAAAGGGCTAATTAACTTTTTAACTAGTGAAAATATACATATTGTTCCAATCAAATACTTGCTAAGCTTCATCGAAAAAGCCTAAATCATTCATTTTTGCGAAGACTTTGAGTGCATAAGAAGCTTAGAGAGAGAGAGAAACAACTTTATTGGAACACCACATAAAGAAGCCGCAGGGTAGACGTTTACCTACCGCGGCTTCCCCCCCCCCCCCCCCCCCCCCCAAAAAAAAAAAATTGTGTTCCTGATAAAAGAAGTAATGCAAGCGAGGCGGCATTTCTCAGTTTCGGAAGGGATGCACATGCACCGATCTTCACGCCAAGTCGAACGTCGGACGCTCGTTCGCTTCTTGTAGGGTCTTCGTGATTTCCGTCGCTATCTTATCCGCTCGGGAGACCACTTCGGCTTGGATGTGTGGGTCCGAGCTTCGGAGAAGCACGGTCCAAGGGGGATCCAGCGGGTCCTCTTCTCCTTCTCGAAGGCGGGCGACGAAGTCCCGTAGAGTAGGCGAAGGAGGGTCCAAGGGACATTCCCAAAACAAGTGTGCGATGGTGGCCTTCGTCGGGCCAGTCCCCCTGTCGGCGGGGTCTGGTGGCGGGCAGCGGGCGCACCTCCCGTCGAAGACGGTGGGATAGATATGCCGTAGAAAGGCCGGGCAGGGGAGGGTGTTTGTCTGCAGCTGTCTCCACCTCAGGGCCTGGAACTTGGCGAGACTTTTGTCGGGCGGTGGATACACTCTGCGCTCTAAGCGATAGTGTTGCAAGATATCTTGAAACACCGTCAAGCAGTCCTTGGACATCGAAAGGTGGTGGGATGCCGCCTCGTCGACGCCGCTAAGGGAACTTGGCAGCGTGACGGCCGGCATTCGGAGGGAAGTTGCTCGAGTTGCCGTTGCGTGTGCCGTTTTGTTCCCCTCGTGAGTCGAGTGAGCAGGGACCCACACCAGACTGTGCCTGGTGCGGTCGGAGCCGGGCTTGAAGGATCGAAGGATGCGTTCTGTTACCGCGCACACCCTGCCTCTGGCGAAGTTGCGGACTGCCGTCCTGGAGTCGCTGGTGATCGTCGTTGAGAGGGGGCCCGCGTGGACCAGGGCCAGTGCAACGGCCGCCTCTTCCGCCACTGCAGTGGCTTTGGTGGTCACGGAGGCCTGGGCGACCGTAGATCCGTCGCTGTTTACCACGGCGATCGCGAAACAAGCGTTACGAGATGCGCCGCCCGGATACGGTGCAGCGTCCACGTGAAGGACGCCAAAGTTGTTACAATGCTGTTTGTTGAGGGCCTCAGCTCTCGCCTTTCTCCGCTCATCGTGATATTGAGGGTGCATATTCCGCGGTACCGGGCGGACTTCCAAGACTTTCCTAATCGTCTTCGGTACGTCGACCGGGGCCTCTTGCAAATGTTCCGGCTCGATCCCCAGCCTGTCCAGGACGGCGCGCCCGGTGGGCGTCTTGCAGAGGCGCACGAAGTGCACTAAAGTTACCTCTCGTGGAGCACTGCAGGTACAAGGCTGACGGTTGCGGTAAGGTGTCCGCGCGATTTTTTTGTCTCTTATGAGAGCCCCAGCCTTGAACCTGTTCCACGAGTGGTAACTTCAGCGCACCACCCCGCCTCTCACGCGTTCGAAGGCTGTCTAAAAATTACTGATTTAGTGGTTTCTGATGGCGCTCAGCAAGTTTCTAATTGGAACCATAAATCTATTTTCTATAATTAAAAGTTGATTAGAAATGTTTTTGTTAATCAGCGAACTAATTAGTAAGTAATGTGCATTTTCTGAAGTCCGCCGCCACGAGACTTGCGCTCCCGAGAAAATTATCATTTTACCACGAATACACTAATCTTAGGAGTTTTTGTCACTCTTACAAGAAGCACCCTGTCTGTAAGGCTAGTGACGTCACTCCCTACGTCGCAAGCTGCCGTCGCCGCAGCAGCTTGCGCAGCAATAATGTTTACTGGGAAACTTTTGCGGTGAGCGCCACGTGCTTCGCATTCTTATCAGGAGCGCCTTATGATTAACTATGTGGTTCGGATGCTTGGTTTGTGCTCGTTCTTTATTGAAACGAATGCTGTGCTGGTATCTTGGATGCCTTATACGCAATTTTCGCTTCAATCACTGAAGGTTGTTTTTTTCTCCGTATGAAGACGCCGACGCCAAATAATCCGACCTGCGAGTCATATACAGATTTGCTATAAAATTGCCTTAGATAGAATTCTATACCTCTTTCACACTTTAATACATTTTTTCGCCCAAACCCCAAAGTTTACCATAACCTCCAACAATACATCTGAACCGCACATAAAAACCAAAACCCAAAGGAACGGGCACGAACAAAAAAATAAACCCAAACCATAAACTTCCCTCCGCACTTGGCGAGGTCAAATTGTTAGCACGCCGAAAGTTACCCTGAAGTGAAGAGATAAGCACAGACCCAGAAACAGTTTCGTTTTCTTATCAAGAATCAAACAGGCTTGGTCGAGACAATTTCCAGAGCTTATATAATGCAGAGTTTTTGTTAGCAATCTTCTACAGTTTTTCTCTATATGTAAGACCTGAGTGCTGTCCAACTCAGGTTCACAGTTGTTACATTCGTCTACATGTTTTGCAATTGCGGAATTTGGTGCATTACTTCTCGGCGCCCTTTTATGCTTTAAATTGCGATCGAGCAACGGCTAATATGGTCAATGTAAAAAACAAAAAAAAAAAGAAAACATCGCAGTGGAATGTCATGTACTACCCTTTACTCACGAGGCACCGCGGGAACCCTGTGTTTTGTGGAGGACGAAAAGCAGCGCGGCACGTGCAGTGACGGCGTCGCCAAAACACAAAAACAAAAAGCACCCCAAAACCGCCCCTAAAATGCGTAAACTTTCTGGCTAAATTCAAATCTGCGTTTAAAACCTTCAGGTTCTTTCCGTCTTTTATTATTCCTCTGCCTCGGGTTTACTATAGATATTTTAGTAGATTCGAAATATACTTAAATTATAGATTCTTGATTTACTATATTGCAAATCATTCTAGGGTAGTAATTCAGTTAAAATATATTATTGGCTGTAAAATTTTTATTGACATTATTCTATTTTTATTTAAAAATATAATGGTAGTTTTAATTTTTTTACTTTTTACCCACAATAGTCGCAAAATTTTAATATAGATTACCCTTACCTTTTATAATTATTTTAGCTTCTCAATTTAAGTTCATAAATTCACTGATCGGAAAAAATACACTGAGCTTCATTGCCTTTCAGCTAACTCGTGGGATTTTAAGGCGCCGAGGTATCACAAGGCGTGGACTTCGGACGCACAGCTGAGCAACCTTCATACTTCTGAAACTGCGCCGTCAGGTGCACGTAGAATGCCTCTGATTATATACACTAGCGGTTTTTATAAACTTTCCGCCTACGAAAAAAATAAAGCCTGCACTGCACTTCATATTTCTCCCCATTCATTAGATAATTATCGTGAAATATCTTAAAACTATTTCCCCGATATAACCTACCTGACTGAGATGTATCAATATTTGGTTCTTAAGTTTTATAACTTGTTAAAAAAAAACACTGACACGCCAACAAAAATTTTTCTCATGCTAGGCGTTAAAAGGGTATATCAGGACATCACCAAAAAATGTTTCACTTCCAAGCTGCGTAGTTTTGTTTTGTTTCTTTTTTATATAAAAAAATAGAAACACGAAGCTCAATTCAAAGTGCCGGCTAGTTCCCTGTGACGTAACCATGTACCGCAAGATGTCGGGGCGGTCAGAAGGAATGCATCGCCGGAAGTCAAGTGAGTTGTATCCCTCCTCGTGCTTACCGCGAGCGCGTGTAATATTTTTTTATACATTTTTGTTATTCTCCGCATCTCCGCGAGCAATCCAAGCAGACAAGGTTTCCTTTATTTTCTTTTCATCGCTTAATGTTGCTGTAAAGGTTGAAGAAGAGGAGTCAGTAAACCTAGGAAACAAGTTCTACTCATTTTCTAGACAACACACGTACTTTAGGCTCGACGTTTACTTGTACTTGGTACACTCATCAGTTCGTATTCTCTAGACGGCAGACATCTTCAGCCTGGAGAGTATTTGATGATTCCACGACCTCGGTGCCTGAACCTTCAGCAATGCGATCGGGCGTGTCGTATGCTAGCAATCCTAATTTCTGCCAGCGTTCTAAAGTTGCTGTTGTTGCTGTTGTTGTTTTCAAAACTCGATAGCTTTTTTGTGCTCAGTATAGCTCTGTACCATCGGACTGAAGGCATGCACTCGTTCACTGGCTTGTACTCGCAACACTTTCATCATTGACCTCCATCACGTCAAACTACTGAGTCTTCGTCGTCAACTTTTACAGCACGCAAACTAACCGACGGTGCAGCGATAAAAAGCTAGTGGAACTGAAACTTCGCTTTCTACGATCGCTCGTGGAGAAGACCAGAAATAAAAAAAAAAGTCTTAGACACGGTCGTGGAGAGCACGAGGAGTGAAACTCACGTGACTTCCGCCGAACCCACTTTTAGTGACGTAGGTCGATGGCTCCCTTCAGAGCCCTTTATACTGAGAAAGTTTGGTCAATGGGCGGAGCTTATTGCCCACTAGAACCAGCGGATTTCGCGATAGCACAAAATGGCGTTACTTCATCGTCTTCTTTATTCCTGGGGAATCGCATAGAGTTCCTACAAAGCCCCAAAATGGCAGACGGAATAAGTCATCCTCCGGTTGTGAGACTGCGCTGCTGTGATTGCCAGGCTGTCAATATCTCCCTAAGAAGGCCAGACGTTCTCAGCATAAACGGCTCTGCCTCCCTTCTGACCGCCCCGACACCTTGCGGTACATTGTTACGTCACAGGGCGCAGGAGGGCACTTTGAAATGGGCTTCGTATTTTTATTTTTATAAAATAACTACCCAGCTCTAAAGTGGAACAGATATTTGGTGATGTCCTGATACACCATCTTAACGCCTAGCATAAAAAAAAAAATTCTTTTTTTTTTTGGCGTGTCAGAGGTTTTTTAACATCAAACCATTAAACGTCAGATACTCAGCTCGTCAAGTGTCGGATTTATACTGGTGGAAACTCTTAGCATTCGTTTGCTTTATTAACAGCTAGCTGATGGTTATCTCCGTTGGTAGATTGCTCGATTAGTTTCGGAGAGGTCCTGAGATTGATGGTCGGAGCAGGCGGATATGTTCAGCGGCATGCAGGTCAATGAGAGATCGCCAGTCGTGTTCAATCACAGGCTGGAAGTCAAGTAATCCATACGAGTTCCAGAAAGCCCATAAAACTGTTTATAACTCATTAATATATTTCTGCCTAAAGCAAGCAAAGTCCCATTAGGTGCCCATGCAGGGCGCCTGAGAAAAGGAATGAGAGAATGTATAAATTAATGAATTAAAAATAAGCTATGCTATTTTTAAGCGGAATGTCTTATTCTTGCAGGATCCTGTGCTGAGCACAAGCACCTGCGAGGTGGCGTCTTTTTCGTCGAGTCGCTGCCGAAGACAGAAACCGGGAAAGTCCAGAGAAAGGCGCTCGTCGAGAAAGCGGGACGCTGAGCGTGGGACCGTACGCTTTACAAAAACTTCAAAAGATAGTCTATTGCAATATGCTTAAATGTTGCCGCCATTTCAAACTCTTCCTGTTATGCTTAGTGCTATTCTACTCCCACATATAATCATATTTTGTACCGCCTGACTGGGTACACTTTATCACATGCTAATCAATAAACTCAATTAAAGTAGAACCTTATTGTGTCTCAACCGAGTAACAACGAGGAGTTGGTGGTTGCGGGAAGTTTCTACGACGGTATCTTTCACACAGTCACAACCTAAAGATCTAAGCACATTGCAAGGGGAGGTTAAGTTGTATGTTTAGTTTTACCTTTTGACTGCGCGTATGGGGTTGTTGATTTAGGAGTGTGTTTAGGTGCATTGGTAACTAGGAAACTGGGTAAATTATTATTTGCCAGACAGTTATGTCAGTGGAAGTTTCTCATCATCTTCCACATTCAATCTGGCCTCGATCCTCACCTGGCGCAAACTGATTCCCGGTTTTTTTTTTTTTTTTTTAATTAGGTTTTTTCTTTTTTTGCTTTAAAAAGGGCTAATAGGACTAAGATGACGTCTTCATTGCAACATTGCTCACAATGTGCGTGAGTTTTTCAAAAGAAGTCATCATATGAACAGAAACATCCACGTGGGAGAAGTATGTAGAAAAATAGTAATTAAGTTTGTTTGTTTTTACAAGAAACGCTCTTATGGCATCTAGACTATTTCTGTGAAGTTAAACAGAGCTTTCGACTTCCCCTCGTATATTGCGTTGAAATAATGCAGCTTGATAGCTGACGGCAGGGGTCGCACACAACTGTCTTAATTACAAAAGGGATGAAAACCGACTTCGTTATTAACTCACGAAGACGTATATTGAAGCAGACATCTTCTTTCAAAGTTGTTTAATAACAGGACAGAACATCCGTCATCTTTTATCGTTCGCTTCTAACTTGCTCTGGCCGACCTCCCTTGTCGAGTGCCTGTCTCGTTATCTACTTCTTCGCTAGATTATTCTCTCTTGTCTTTTGAAGCTTCAGTGAAGCTTAATGGTGCCCTTCGTACAAAGAAAGCCGGTCGCGGTCGAGTATGAGGGCCCATGATAGGTGGTTGCGACGTATGCGATAGGCCACATCACTGAGACGTTCGACGACGGTTAAAAGTCTTAGCCAGTAGCGTTGTAGTTGGGGAGACTGCCCTCTTTTTTTAATTAAATTTTAGAGCCATACTTTGTCAACAGGCGAGAATTGGTGTACTGGGTCTTTATGCGTACTGGGTCTTCATGCGAATCAGACCACTTGCCAAACGTTGCCGAGCGAATTCATGCATCCGTTCGAGGTTTGTTCTCAGTTCACCTATGTAAGAAACATGGTCTGTAGCCGGTTCTGATGCCCATAGGATGGATACCTCACAGGACACGCGAAGGTCATGACCCAAGAGCATTGTGGCAGGCGTGTAGCCAGTGCTTTCATGAGCAGCCGTGCGGTATGCATTCAAAAATAAAGGTATATTGGCGCTCATTCACGAACATAGATCGACGTTGTAGAAGGGTGCGATTTATTCACTCCAACAAGCCGCTTGACTGTTGTTTTTGTTCTTCTGATGCTGAAGATTTCGCAATTTTTTTTCTGGAATACTCGAGATTCGAAGTTTCTGCCTTGGTCCGAGCAGCTCATCAGGGGAACTCCATAGCAGGTAATCCAGTTCTTCATTAGAGCGTCGGCGATTTCTCAGGCGGTCTTGCTTAAAATATGAATAACCTACGACCACTTGGCGAAATAGTCAACACTGACTAGCAGGAAATTGTTTCCAAGCTTAGAGGTAACGGCTCCAGCATATCAATGCTAAGGCGTTCGAAAGGTGTGCCCGTCACATGTTCTTGAAGTGGTGCCCGTTGTTTTACGCGAGTCACATATGTGGCTTTGGCGGCACCATTGCTTTACGTCACTATGACACTGTAGCCAGCAAAAATGTTTCCGAACCTTTTTGACCGTGCCATTCATGCCTAAGTGCCCTCCTTCGGGGCAAGTGCTTAGCTGATGAAACGCTTGTGAGCGAAGCCTTCGTGGCAGCACGAGCTGCAAGACTAGAGTTACGTGCAGCGGACTCCCAGTGTCGGTAAAGAACGCTGTCCCGCAGAAACCGAGTGTCATTGCACCAGGTAACTCTTGAGGGCCGGGGAAAACGTGGACACAGTTAAGGTGGGAGCTTGCTATTCTGCTTTTTCCATCTTACAAATGGGCTGATGTCCACGTCGTCAAATTGATCATCAGAAAGCCTCTCCGACGCCCAGGCTTCGTTGTCGCAAGGGAGGTTGTTTAGTGCGTTGAGCGGCTCGAAGCTGCGTTATACAATTCTCAAGCACTGCCACCTTCCACTGCACGGGGAGCGGGAGAGACCATCAGCGTTGGTATGAAGTGAAACGGCTCGATGCTGGATGTCAAAGAAGTATTGATGCAGGCGTTCCAGCCAGAGGCGACCCGACTACCAGGTGTCTTGAAACTCAACTTCCATATCTTTGATGCGTGGTCGGTACGAATAATAAACTTCCGGCCCAGTAGATAAGGGTGAAAATGAGTGATGACTTCAATGATTACAAGCGTTTCGCATCCGGTGGTAGAGTAATTACGTTCGGGCTTCGTAAAGACCTTGCTGTAATACTACATGGCGCGTTCCTGTCCGTACTGCTCTAGGGATAACACAGCACGAAATGCCGAAGCGCTGGCATCGCTGTCAAGTATAAAGCGTGCGGTGCCCTTTGAATACGAAAGTGTTGACGGAAACGTGAATGCTCTTCTGGGTGTCAAAAACGCACGCTGACATTCTGAAGGCCAGACTAACTTTGCCTTTTCTCAGTCAGGGCATACAGAGACTTGGCGATGTGAGCGAAACTGGGGACAAATTTTGGATGGTACGATACCCAATTGAACGTCGGTGGTGTTTCTTGGTGTTGACTATTCCGCAAGAGCAGAGAGTTTCCGAAGATCTGTGGGAATCCCATCCTCTGAAATGATGTGGCCGGGGTATTCTAGCTACTTGTTTTGTAAACATTGAACATTTTTTTCGGTGTGAGGTTCAGGTTCGCGTTTTGCAGCCGGGAAAAAAACAAGTTGAGGTTCGTCAGATTGTCTCAGAATGTCTTGTTGAATTCGATGATGTTGTCAAGTTATGCAAAAAAGAGGTGCCTATTAGTCTCCGAAATTTATCCGGAGCACTGCAGAGTAAAAATGGCCTCGCACGCAACTGATTCAAGCCGTTAATAGTGATGAACGTGGTCTTCTCTCGGTATCCTTGTTGCATTGGGACCTGCAAATACTCGCTTTTGAGGTCGCGTGTGGAGAACAACTTGCACCCGGCGAGGGTGTCCCAGATGTCGTCAGTTTAAGGCAGAGGAAAGGAGTCTTTCTTCTGACGTCCTTAAGTCGTCAATGGTCTACGCAAAAACTGGTCGAGCTTTTTGCCACTAGTGCAACTGTTGAGGACCAGGCGACACATGCTTTTTCAATCACGCCTTGTCGTAGCATTGTCTTTAGCATGTCATCGATGTGTGACATCTATGCAAGGGGAATACGTCGAAGGGGTTGTCGAACGGGAGAAGCTCGTCCTGTCAGAATTCGATGTGTTGCTGCTGATGTCAGTCCTGTATTAGCGTCTCCCGTGCTGAAAGGTTTTGTGAACCTTTTAAGTAGTTAGCAACATCTTTCCGCGTCGAGTTTATCCATGTCAGCAGACGCGCCTTAGTAGAGTGGTAATACGTTCGCAACAAGTTCGGTCAAGAATACGGGAAGATACAGATACCGGGAGATTACATTTATTGACAGCCCACATTCGCAGATAACCATCACCCTGGCGGCACCCAGAGGAAAAAAGTCAGTGCCTAGATGCAGTAATCCACCGTTGAAATCGAGCACGCACTTGTGTGTTTTGAGAAAATTGACGCTAAGGATGCACTGCTGCTCGACAGCCTCGTCGACAACAGGCAGAGTAGCGTGAAGGCTTCCCACGGTGAAAGCACAGTTGTGGAGGAGAGTACAGTCACCATCTACCCTGTTGCGGTTTGCAAAGTGTAGCTTCTACAGTTCTGTGTAACAATTTTGTACGCCTTCGTCAAACACTCCGGCCTGACTGCAGACGCTGTATCGCAGCTATCAACAAGTGCGCGCACTCGCATCATTTCGACAACGCCTTGGAGGTGGATAGATGAGACGCTGTGAGGACACGAGTTGACGTGATTCTTCGCGGAGTCGTTGTTGTTGAGGTCCGACTGCCAAGGCCATAGTTCGGCCACTGTGCCCGCGTGTGACCCTGCTGATGGCAATTCCAGCAAACGGGAGCTGGATTAACCTGCGCACTTATTGCCGGAGTTTGAGGCTGCGTGGAGGGCCGTGGAAACGTATATCTAGATGCCTGCCGAGCAGTTCATACATTTGACACATAAGTATGTTCTGGCCGCAGTGTCTGAGGGCACGGCGAACGGCACCCTGCACCTAAACAGATGAGATGGCATCGATGAACTTCATAGTTGCCACAGCCTCAATTTTGTCCTCCGGGCAACCGGGGAACGCATGATGTGCGAGGAGCTCAATGTCATCGGCGACGTGGGAAATCGTCGTAGTCGCAGCCTCGTGGTGGTTGCGAAGTAGCACATGATTAAGAAAGCGAAGAGGTCCTTCCCCATATCACTCGTTCAGTACTGCGCGCCAAATGCCTCGAAGGAATGGCGGGTATCAGGGGGTAAGTAATGCAGGACTGTCAACGCTCACCCGGTTAAATTGGCGGCCAAGGCTTGCACCTTGCGAGCCGTAGATAAGAATGCAAAGGCAAAAAAAAAACAGTTTTTTTTTCTTGTTGTTTCACTGAGCATAAAAAACGGAACAAAACAAAATTCAGTTCATTCAAGTATGAACAAACCTGTTAAGCTAATTTTTGCAACGAACGTCGACATAGAAAGTAATGACTGTGACGAAACCAAAGTACCGATTCCATGCATCTTTCCATTGGGTTGGATTGAGAAGGCATGTAGATGAATAATAATCGCAATATAGTAAATGCCGGGTTCGTGAGAGCAAATGCAAACTAATTTTCCGGCTCGCATAAATAAATTACGCATAACAAAAAGCTGATGATTCTTAAGAACGAGGCGCTAGTGGTGGTGGCAGAATGCTAAGTTCGTGAACATTAAGTTATTTGTATCTAAAAATA